CTCTGCTGAATAACTTTTTAACTCTTCGGCCACTTTCAACTAACTTTGAGAGAATGCACCCCACTGGGACAAGGTCACAGAAGTACACCTCCTGCATTAACAAAGGGAACCCACTCAGCTCTCTGGCCTTTTGAATGTGCTGCCCTAGTGACAGGAAAAGCTTCAATTGAGCTGACATCATATTAGAAGCTAGGAAAAAAAAAAAAAAAATAAAAAAAAATAAACCCACACACACACAAAAAAAAAATCAACAAATACAAATTTGTTAGAAAGAAGGCTTCATGACATCCCAGGGGTTTCTGTGGGAGCTGTAGCTCTAGATTTCTTTGCTCTCGCCCAATTACAAACTCTACCAAAACACAGGTCTTCCTATGTTTACAATTACAAACTCTACCAAAACATAGTAGCTTCCATTGTTATACCCCACACCAGAACCGCGTGGGGTCACAGGCAGAAATGCAAGGCTGGCGTGTTCCCAATGTGGCCTCACTTACCACTGCAAACCCAACAGAGCTGACCTGCCCCTGCAGGGAGAGCCTTTCCCTGGGGCTTCTGCCCACCCAGAGATTGCTCTCAGGGGAATGGCCAGATTCTTCTTCACATATCTACTAACATTATGTGAGTTGTGCAAAGGCAGAGGTGACTGAGGTATACACTTCTTAATATAAAGGTGTGTAACCTTTGAACAAAATACCACACCTTGTAAATTGGAATGACTGATTAAAGTACATTAGACCCAGATGTATCCCACCTGATGCTTGAGCACCTGAGGCACCTAAAGCAAGATGGTGCTGCGCCTGGGTCTCACTGTCTTTGTGTACCACACAACACAAGTGAGGCCACTACCAAATAAATACACAGCCAGCCACTGCCACCAGGCTTGCAGAGGTACGAGTGAGCAATTTAATACTGGAGCCAAAGATAAATATTTTTATGTTAATTTAGCTGAATTAATAACAAAGAGATGTCCACCACATAGAATAAAATGTGGGAACACAGGTAGCAGAAAACATTCCAAGGGTGTACACTCAGTTGTGAGTGCGCATCCTATCACACAATAAATACAGCGTAGCTTACCTCTTTTACAGAGGTATATATAACCTTACTTTTACAGAGAGATAAAGTGGGGTAAAGTGTGGCCAAATGGGACTGGAAACAGCTGACACACTGCAAGTTTTATTACAGATTACCTGTGAGTAATTTATGTGCCCACACCCTTATACTGCCATGCTGTACTTCTATCACAGCATGATTTGAAGATGTACTTCGTAAGAAGTAACAACCCTGTAAGTTCAAGGGCTTCCTGTCTCACAAAAGGCAGAAGAAACACTCACTAAGACATTCTGGTGACTCACCAAAATGTGGATGTCCATTCTCTTGTGGCTTGTAAAATAAACTATGGTACCAGCATTCCCAAAGTTGCATCTCTACTGTTACCAGTCTTTCACTGCTGGTGTATTCAGCCCAGTGGCTTTGTATAACAATTACCACTATTTCCATGCACAGAACTCCTGGGAACCCTGAACTGTTTGGTGGAATGAGATAACTTTAATTCATAATCTGAGAGTTGACATGGCAAAGTTAGAAGAGATCTTGTTACAATTTTGAAAGTAGATTTTAGCAGCAATGGTGCTCCAAGTAATATCCAACATACATTTTTAATTGCATATTTACTACTGCAAAGGATAAATGAGAAAGAAAAGGAAGAGATGTAAACACAGATCTGCATTTTCAGGGTGAGGAAGCTAATAACGGAACAAATAGTACCAAAGTAAACTATGCTGACAAAGCTAGAGAATGAAAGCCTTGATCCACGTGACAACTTGCCAATATAAGCTTCCTGACTACTGTCAGCACCTCTACGCTGAGCTAGCATGAAAAATCTAAAGACAGCTGGATAAGTTCTGAATTTCATTCAAACCAAACTGTTTCAGAGAGACTGACTTTGATGACAATGTGATTAAGATTACCCCAAGCAAAGGAAAAATTTTAAGTACTAGTACTCTGATTTGACTTTGCCATTTCAAGAAATGGCAGTGACCGCTTTAGCTGAATCCAGAAGTATTGGTGTTGTGTAACATAAATATCATCCCAAACGTTACTGAATGTAGTATTATAAATGAAACTCCCCAAAGAAAACCTTTCGTTAAAAAGCAGGTTCAAGTTTCTGAGTGGAAAGAATACACGTCTTGCACAAAGTTTACAAAGCCCAACTGCTTAAAAGCAAGAAAACAAATACTTAAGGACATCATTACTCTCAAGCAGCATAACATATGCATTACACTTATCAAAGATAAAGAATTCCCATAGCAATACATTAGCTCAAGAACACGAGTCCTGCATTTAACCAGATGATTCATCAGAAAGTCAGCCAGTCTGCAGAAAAAGCAAGTCCATCTAGACAGGCAAAGACAAAGCCAGAAAGAGAGCTCAGTAGATAAGCCAGGTTTTCTCCCCCTCCCTTTAAATAATGTCTTTCTTTACCTTAGCTCTGACCTACAATCTTCGTATCCAGTGTTCTTTCGTGCAACTCTGCATGCCTTCTTCCATGCTATTAGTTCAGAAGTTTCCCACAAGGAAATACATACCCTTTCAGATACATACTTATATCAACTGGAAAAAAATTCACCTTTACTCTTTTTTTGCTTCTTCATCACACATACCACTTTGACAGTCAATCATACAATATAAGATTCTCACTAGTTTGCATAGGAAATAGACCCTGTCAATCAGAAGAAAGCATATTGTTATCGTGGCTCGTTAACCCCATGACCCATGCTTACAAGAATTCACTGCAACCTGAAGCGACAAAATAAGTGTGCCAATTGGTTTTTAAAAATACAAGGTTTGCTTTTTACTGGGATTGCAAAAGGACTTGTGAATGCTCTTTGCTTTTGAAAATCAGGCCAATATCTGACCGTAGGGTGAAGCGACCTATTTAGAAATTTTATCCAACAAAACAAGAATTCTACAGAACTTAGTTAAGAATTTAGTTTAGTCACTGTGAGAACCAAAGGGATAGAAATTGTTTCCAATGGAAGTAATATTATGCTACAACCACTGAGGAACACAGCAGTGAACAGATGCAATGATCCAGCAAACTATACTTTTAAGCTTTTCTCACACACTAGGAAAACACATAGAAATAGAGCAAAAGTTTTGAGTTTTCACGGAAAATTATCTTAAAGTCTGGCGACCACATTCTAGTTATTAAAATTATTTATCTGCAACGTTTAAATTCCAGCACAAAGGGAGCTGCATACCACGAAAAGCCATGTGACTCACCAGTGACATTCAGTGAGGCATATTAATTACCTGATATTTGAATTTTCCCAGTTATTTACCCTTCTCAGCAGGTAAGACTAGAGCAAACTTGGGGAAAAAAAAAAAAAAAAAAGTCTCTAAAAGAGATTTTTTTAACCAAACGACCCCAGGGTCAGTAGACATTCGCTGGGGGCCAGCATCGCACCCCTTTCCCACTCACCCCTGCCCAACTGCTTCACCAGGGCTGCGGTCCGGCCCCGGCCTCACGCTCCCAGCGCACTTACTCCCCCTCAACCTTTAGGCACAAAATCTTCACAGAAAACCCGAGATGCCGAGTTTTTCACCTTTCCCCGCTGAGGTCAGTTCGCTCCGGGCTGCGCTCACGCCTTGGCCGCTGCCACCTCCAGGCTGAGGCCCGCGGCGGCCGCCCCCCTCAGCCCCCCCAAAACCCCCCGCCAGCCCCCCCACCCCCCGGGGCCGGGGCTCACCAGATGCAGGGCCATGGGCAGCGTCAGCAGGAAGAGCCACAGATAGAGATGGCAGCTGTTGGTGAAGGCGCCCTGCTCCGGGTCGTGGTACCAGCCCCCGGTCAGCGCCGCCCACACGCCCTGACCCACCAGCCGCGCCGCCGGCGACACCATGGCCGCCGCCCCCCCCCGCCGCCACCGCCGCCGCCGCCGCCCCTCAGCCGCCCGCCGCCGCCGCCGCCATGCCGGGCGCCCGCGGATTCTCCCATGGTGCCCCGCGACGCCGAGCATCCCGCCCGCCCCACCCCGAACCGCCGCCGCCGCCCCCCGCCCCGGGCACAGCCACCCCGCTTCGTCCCCGCCGCGGGTGGGGCGAGATGCGGTGCCACGGTGGGAGCGGGTCGGGGGAGCCGCGCCTGGCTGCCGGTAGCAGGCCGCAGAGGCGGGGAGAGGCCGGGCCGCGGCGAGGGGCAGTTCTGGCGCGGAGGCGTCCGTCACCGCGGCGTCCCGCCCTGGGCGGCCCCGAGGTTGGTTCACAGGTGCGAAAAACGCGCGGCAAAGAGGCAGCACCGGCGTCAGCTCCTCACACACACACCGCCCTCACACACCGGGGCCCCCTCCCCAACCTTCGTCTTGTTTTCAGTGCCGGTTATTAATTTTGCCTGACACATCACGAGTTTTTGAGCTTTGAGCTCTGCCCAGCTTCAGCACTGACCTTTTTGCGCTGTTTTGAGCTGTATTTTGGGCAGGCAGGTGGGAAAATGCCATCAAAAATACTGGGTTTCTTTCAAAAAGGAGTTTAGGGCAAAAGAGTGCTTTGCGTTGAAGAATTTGATGGCAGCTGACCTCAAATTAGCAGAGTGAAGAGGTACAGGGGTGAGGTGGGATGGGGGGGAAGCACAGGTGTGCGAAGCAGCGGGGAGTGGAGCAGAAATGGAGGATAGAGCCCCGTGGAAGCCTTGAGCAGGGGCGGCCAAAGGCAGTGAAGGATGTGGGGCATAAGGGCACAGGGCATATCCCTACAGGATGCCCCTCAAGGAAGGGGTGTAAGGCTGGGCTGCGAACACCAGATCTGATCATACACAGCACTCCTTCCCTCTCACCCTCAGCCATCTGAAAATAGCCATGAACTTCAATTGCACGTGTCCCATCAGCCCCTTACAGGGACATTCCTGCACGTATAGACTTCTACTGTGGTCAGTTTTCTGAAGGATGCATGTATGAAATGGAGGCAGCCAAGCAGCTTAATCATTACTTCACCAAATTTACGCTACTTTCATTGTTCCTTGCTGTGGCTACAGTTTCATGGACTAAACACGCTGTTCTGGTGTGCTTTGTATGGATTTTTTAGACAAAGGTAAGAGACCAAAGATGATACTGTACCACTGTAGTTGTGAGCTAACGAACCCTATCTCATCCCGCTTCATGCTGTTGCAGGTGCTGTGGCCAGGCTGGGTGCTTGTGTTGGCTTGCTGGGAGGGAGGATACGGCTGGGAGCAGGGGAGGAACGGCACCGTTTCCTTCAGCGGCGCAGGCACCCTCGGGTGTCTGTGGATCTATAGCCACAGGACTTGTGTACTTGCTTGGTGAGTCCTTGGCAAGCAGCGAAGCCTCTCGACCTGTACGAAGGAGGCACGGTCCCAGCAGTGACTCCTGCGCTGCCCCTGTGCACCCACCTTACCCAAGCCTCTCCCTTGTTGAGTGGAAATTTTTTATTTTACCCTGTGCAGATTCTTTTCAAAGATGACAAAGCCTGTCAACACAAATGTAATGATTGAATCAAGTGCAGTAGCTGGCTATGAATAATATTTTTGATGTGTGATAATTAAAAATGTTAATTTTTCATAAACTACTGAAGTTGTTTTCCACATGTGTACTAGCAAATAAGATCATTCACATGTACAGCTCCCAAAAAGAAAGATGAGCAAGCAAAGGTGGAAAGGGAAAACTTCAAAACCTCATCCCTTCTGTTTTTTGAGACCTCCTATTTGGAGGTTATTATTTGGAGGCCCCAGGTAGTGCACGATTCATTGGAATGGATATAACAACGAGTCTTATTAGGATGACTTGTCCGCCCATTGCTCAGACCTTCCAACTCTTCCTCATCTTTGGATAATGGGGTTTTTTTCTTGGTATCAGGGTACTTCCAAGCACGAAGGGTTCCTGTGATTTCCAACTCAGGACAGGCGTTCTGGACACAACGCAGACGCACAGTACCACACCTACAGCTGAAGGAGCACCCAAGAGGACAAACGTGACCACTCTTCGAGAGAGAGAGAGAGAGACAGAGAGCCACTGGTGAGAGCCGGAGCAGAAAGCCTCGCCCCACGGTATGCCGTTCCTCCCCGGGGTGAGTAACCCTGCTTGGTGGTGCCGTCAGAGGAGCGATGGGCGCTTTGCAGGGCTCGCTTCGACATCATTTCCATCCCCAGGACTCCTTGGAACAGCAACTGCACACCGAGATCCTAAGCGCGGGGTGATGCAGAAACTCTGAACAAAGAATAACCCAAGTGTAGCAATTGCTAGTGGGTAATGGTACTTCAGAGAGCAAATTTTGGAATAATAGCTCTAAATAAATATTTAAACTTTTCACTGTACTGCAACCAATACCGTGTCTGGCCCAAAACATTCCACACTTAATTAGTTCCTGCAGATTCTTTTAGATAACAGATACAGTTCAAGGTGGAATTTGTGTGGCAGAATGCTTGTATTACAACATACTTTATGGCTTTTATAATAAGGCAAATATGCAGATAAGGAAAAGGCTTGTAATTATCTCTCTGAATAGCTGCAAGGCAATCCCTTATATTAAAGGAAATAGGAAAAGACTCGATAGACATGCTGCTTCTGCATTCTTTATTTTTGGTTAACATGGTTCAGGAAGTCGCTTTCTGCATGATTTTATTTTTGCCCTGCGTGTGCAACTACAGACACTGTTTAGACTGTAGGATAAACAAGGATTTATGACTTTCGGATACTGTAATTTTAATTTTTTTGAATTACTGCCTTTATATTGGAACCTTAGTCCTGCGACATCCAGCCGCCAACCTTGCGTTTCTGTAGGGGCGCGCAGTGCCTCGGCCGCGGGATTTTGGGCGAGCAGCTGAGACGCCTTCCCCACGCCAGCTCCTTCTGCCCCCCACCCGCAGGGCTTCCGCGGGCAGGTGCCGCGGCCGAACCCGCCTCCCCCCTCCGGCTGCCAACCGCGCTGCCGGCGGGCGGGGGCCGCCCCCCCGCCAGCCCACTCGCGTCCCTCGCACTTGCGAGGAAGCGGCTACAGTCGCTCGGGAAGCGGTAGGGTTTTTCCACTTCAGGCCACGAAAGTCTTTCTCTGGAAATAGCAGCCGTACGGCGTTCGCTATTTCCAGGCAGCGCCCCGGAGAAAGAACGGTGCGACCGCGCCGCGCAGAGCCCGGGCCCCCCGCCCATGCGCAGCCAGCACGGGGGGGAAGCCCAGGCGCGGTGGGGGCGAGCGGCGGAGGCAACACGAACCGCGGCCGCTTGGTTTCCTCAGAAACCGCCTGGCTGTCATCCCGGTGAAGCTGCCGGCGGAGGCACCAACCCTCAATCTGCTCCGCCGCCCCGAGGGGCGGAGCGGGCCGGGCCAGGAGAGGCGGCCTGCACCCGGACGCCAGTAGCCGAGCGTCCGGGGGCCAAGGGCACCGCCCGGCTCCGGGCGGCGGGGGGGGCCGGGGGTGCCGTTACACCGCCCCCCCCCGGCGCTGACCGGCGCCCCAGCCCCGCCCACCGCGGCGGCCGGAGCCTGCCAGTCTGCGCGCGTGGGAGGGCGGGCGCGGGCGCCTACCTGCCCACACGCCCGCCCCCGGCGCGCGGCCTGCCCCACGTGACGGCCGGCGGCCAATCCCTGGGGCCAGGGAGCGGGACAGGCGGGAGGGCGGGGGCGGGGCGCCGCCACTCCCCTCCCCGCCTATCCCCGCGCGCGCTTGCGCCCTACCTGACCGAGACCGGTGGCGGCGGCGGCGACCGGGCCACGCCCCCTCCCCCGGCCACGCCCTTTCCCCTCCCGCGGCTCCCGCTCGGCGGCGGCAGGTGAGGATGCGGCTGGGCCGGTGCCCCCGCGTCGGCGGCGCTCGCGGCCGCCGGGGCTGAGGTCGCTGCCATGGCTCTGCCGGGCGCCGGGGCGGCGGCGGCCGCCGGTGGTGGGGGTCCGTGCCCGCTGTGGACGGCGCTGTACGATTACGAGGCGAGCGGCGAGGACGAGCTGAGCCTGCGGCGGGGGGACGTGGTGGAGGTGCTGTCGCAGGACGCGGCCGTGTCTGGCGACGACGGCTGGTGGGCGGGGAAGATCCGCCACCGCCTCGGCATCTTCCCCGCCAACTACGTGACCCGCCAGCCCCGTAGCGGGGCGGCGGGGGGCGGCGGCGGCGCGGGGCGAGGGGACCCCGCGGGGAGCCTGACGGAGATCGACTTTCAGCACCTGGAGCTGCAGGAGATCATCGGCGTGGGCGGCTTCGGGAAGGTGTACCGGGCCACTTGGCGGGGCCGCGAGGTGGCCGTGAAGGCGGCGCGGCAGGACCCCGACGAGGACATCACGGCCACGGCGGAGAGCGTGCGGCAGGAGGCCAAGCTCTTCTCCATGCTGAGGCACCCCAACATCATCGCCCTGCACGGGGTCTGCCTGCGGGAGCCCAACCTCTGCCTCGTCATGGAGTTCGCCCGCGGCGGCTCCCTCAACAGGGCCCTGGCCGCCGCCGGGGCCGGGGCCGGGGCCGCCCGCGGGGGCCGCCGCATCCCCCCGCACATCCTGGTGAACTGGGCGGTGCAGATCGCCCGCGGCATGCTCTACCTGCACGACGAGGCCATCGTCCCCATCCTGCACCGGGACCTCAAGTCGAGCAACAGTGAGTCCCGAGCGGGGCGGGGGGTGGTGAGGAGGGGCCTGCGGAGGCGACGGCGAGGGCGTCCCGGTCCCGCTCCCGGTCCCTCTGCCGCGGCCGGGCTGCAGCGCGGCGCCGGCCCCCGGGGCTGTCGGGGCCCGGTGCTGGCGGTTGCCGTGGCCGTGGCCGTGGCGCGGGGGGCGGCTGCCCGAGGAAACGGGCGGCCGGGCACGGCCGAGGAGCCCCGTGTCACCGGGAGAGGTGGGCGTCGCGACGGGGGTGGCGGCAGGTTAGCTGCCGTGGCTGTGAGCCGGTCACGGGCGCGCTGTGGGGAGGGCAGGGAGAGAGTGGGCTTCACTTGCAATGCAATGCTGGGCGAAGTCCTGCTTTCTCGGGTGGGAGCTCGCTTAAAAAGCAAAGCGAGATGAAATCCTGTGCACAGCCACAACGTTTCTTTTACCCTGATGTGTTGTGTTAGTCCTAGCTTTTAAGAGTTTCAGTAAAGCAAGCACCTTGTAAGGGAAATGTTTAATAGGGGTATCACTTCTGTTCTACTGCCAACCAACCATATGTGTTTCTGGTTTTCATTGCACGCGTTTAGCATTGCTAAAATCCACCCGCTTAGCGAACATTGAGACAGAGAAGACAGTAACTTAAAAACAGTAGAAACTCTTGTGCGGTTGCCAGATCTGCTTTCAGCCGTTGGCATGGACAAAAGCACCTGGAAGAGTGAGGGAGTTGCTCAATTCATGCTTAATGGATCCTTGGTCCATCTGTCAATACAAGAGCATCTAAGATTTTGGCAGTTGTGTTGTTGGAAGGCTGGCTTACTAGAATAGAGGTGTTTATGACTTGCCTTTATAATTGTGTTCTGAATTGGTGACCTGAACATGGAAATCGGCCTGCTTCCATAAATATCTGAAGCCATCTCGACTCTCTCTTTATTCTGAATGTGCCAAATGCGCAGCAATATGTTACTTTTTTTCCAGTTAGGAATCTTTAAGTAGTCCAGCAGAAATAAAAAAGCTTCATTCAAGTTTGAAGCACTTTGTTTAAAAGGCCTTTGCAGCGTGTCTTGAAGGTCATCATGCATGGCTTGTTAAGAGAAGGCTCAGTCATGGGACTGTTCCCGAGAACACTTTCACTGTTTGTTTGATAAAAAAAGGACCTAGCTCAGCTACATTTGTGGTTCTGTCTGTAGCACAAAACAATGAACTCTTGGAATGTACCTTTAGGGTCATGGCCAGTACCTTAATTTCTAGCAAGCTGTCTGTAGGCAGCTTGTGCCCTCGTAGTTTGCTGCTGTGTTCAGAGTGAGCTGCTGTACCTTGAGTATTTAGTGGCTTTTCCCAGACAAAGTGGGTTGCTGCATGCTAGCCTCCTAAATTGACAATGGCAAAGTCCGTATCTGAAATGAATTCATAACCCTGTGGTTTAGCGTAGCACCTAGACCTGAATTGGTTACTGCTATGAACTGATTACAGTTATCATCTAGGTGAATGTACCTAATGACAGGACGTTTTAAAAACGTGCTTTTGATTATAATCTCAACATATGTGGCTATTCAGCTTTCATTACTGATGCCTGTTACATATGCGCTTAACTTTAGCTACTTAGTTTTCTCACCCATATTTCTTAGTGAAGTTTGAAGACAGTATTGAATACGTTAAATAGAATTATGTCTCTCAATCATCCAACTAAATGATAACACCAGAAGGCGATGGTGTGCTAGTGGCACAATCTACTATAGTAATTTTTAAGTTCAATAACATGAATTTAAAATGACTGTGAATCATGAGTGTATTCCCTGTTCTGATAACTCATCTGTTCATTGAAGATTTCGCTTGATTCTTTTACTGTAGTCTTTTCCAGACTTACATAGTAGGAGTGGAAAGCTGCCAGGGTTGACTGATCCACTTGCTTGGTGTGGATAGTAACAGTGCAGCAGTGGCTATAGCTGCAGAGGGGGATCTGGCAGCACCCATTCCTCAGATGCTCATCGCTGTTTTCCATGGACTGCTAATGGTGGTGGTTCAGTGCTCTCCATTAAGCAGCTCTAGGTAGCATACAAGATGTTTTGTGCTAACTCAGTTATTTTTGTTAAGAAGTAAATTTTCATCCTTTGACAACAAATTAGAGAAATGACTGCCCTTAACGTGGCATTGCAAGGAATGCTCCCGAACTATTTCCCTAGCAAATAGGCAGGAACTAATTTTTCCAGCCAGGGGAAGGGAGCCCATTCCATCAGGATATGTGATCCAGAAGGGATGTGTGTCTGGGCTCGTGGTTGGCAGACAATAGGCAAAGCAAGCATCTCAAAGGCAAGTGTGTTACTTCTCCTCAAGCAATTTTGTGGAGTTGGGATCTATAGGACACCATATCTAGTACAGTTTAGCTGATGCCAAATTGTCATGGCTGGAGAGGAGGTGCCACAAACAGAAAAGCCATGAAAGCAGCAGGATTTTATTAACAGCAGTGACCGCCTAGGTTTGTACATACAAGTTTACTTGGGCTCCTTTTGGGAGGTGGGAAAAGATTTTTGTTTCTGCCAAGGCAAGAAAAAGCAAATAAATAGCTATGCAAATGTCTTCTATATTGGGAAGAAAAACTAACAAACTTGGTTGGGAGGGAAGAACAAGGAAGTAAGGGGTAACTCTCAAGTTTTGTTGGTAGCAGAGTTTGTTCAATTCTGGAGTCTATGTGAAATAATATTTAAAGGTTATTCAAAAGTAAATGAAACAAAGGTGTAAAGAACACTTTTAGCTTTAGGTATGTCTGATAAAATGAAACATAGTAACCATGTTGATTTGCAAATTGTGGGTGCTTTGTAAAACCTTGTGCAGGTGACATTAGGAGAAGTGACTCTGAAAAAGAACATGGTCTATTTTGAGAAAAATTACCTCATAGTCAGTTCTTAAGTTCTTAGATACACTTTCTAGATTAAAGAGATAATCTAAAATTAAGGAGTAAGAGGTGGACTTTACCTATCTAAAACCTGAAGAAAAAATTTGAAAGAAAATTTGAAGTTTTTCAAACCATCGTGGATGGTCAGGGAGTTCTGAATTAAATGATACGTTAACTGAAAAGCAGATACCTTAAAAATTGTGAAAATACTTGAACATTCTTAACTGTATCTCCTGGGTGCAAATTTAGCATACCATCTGATTATGAAGAAGTTAGGTTTCACTGGAAATAAACAGGAATTCATCTACAAGACTGTACAGTAATAGTTACATGTGTATTTTTAGCTCATCTCAGCTGTTTTGCTGACTCTTTGAAAGGGCAACTTTTTTTCTCTGGGGGAATCAAATTGCTTTCTTCTGGTCAAGGACACCCCATTAGTTACGAGACCTGTGATTGTTTAAGAGCTCAGTACAGCCTTTCTTGATACTTTTTTAGTATTCTGAGGAAAGCTAGTAACGTGTTCAGGTTGAGTGTGTAAGTTTTTTACTTTCTCAAGTCTAGTGTAAAGAAAGCAGAAGTTTGTGTTTCTGGGATTGATTTCAGACTGTATAGAACTTCTGCCTCAAAAAAAAAAAAGGCACTTTAGTGCAGCTGCTTTGTTTACGTGTAGGACATTACAAAAAGTTCAGAATATCTTGGTTATGGCATAGACTGATCCATGAATACAAAGTAAAGCACGAAGTTGATTGTGCAGATTATGTGTACTAAGACAATACTGATAACGTACTCTGTGCTTGTTTGTTGTAGATGGATATGCGAGTAGGGTTCAGTTTGCTATGGCTTTCACCAGGTCCTCTGACATCCCAGGATCCTTTGCAGCCTTTGGCCCTCTGAAGGATGTTGCGTTTATATTACTTTTTGAAATTGTCAAGGACAGCTTGAGTTTCAAGGATTGTTGAATAAGGCCATGGACATGACAATGCTAACAAGAGCAATACTTGAAATTTGAAGGAATCAAACATGCAAGTGAACAGTGAAACTGCAGTTAGACAATCCACTTTAATATGACATTCTTCAAACTTGTCTCATGAAAAGCAGGCAGAAAATAGAAATGACTTGGTTTTAAAACCTCAAAAGGAAGTGTGATGTGGTTTGACAGAACTGTTGAATCAGTTGTTTTTGATGAGGGAACGTGTCCTGGAGTTTGAGATCAGCAAGAACAATTATCTCTGATTCCTTGCTCTTACAGGTTATTTGCTGCAGAATCGCTCAAGTTATGCTATTAAACACCTTTAAAATAAGATGGAGATATTTTTCAAGAACTCATAAAAAGTACTTTCTCTCCAACTTCTCTGCCTAACAACTTCAGTCTAGCTGTTCGGGGAGAGGAAGAGAAAGAAACTAGATTTAAACCTATCTGACATCTTCTGATCAGATTTTATTTATTCTGAAATCACTGGGATGCATTATTTATCTCTTGACTCTGTACTGAAGAGGGAAGACTTGCTTACATCACAAGAAGAGATGTAAGGGTTACTTATATGTTATTAAATGTTTGAAATTCAGGATCTTCTAATGTACAGTTACCAAGAAAAAATCAAAATTAAATTCTATTACAGTTGTCTTTGGTAGTTTTGAGGGAGAAGAGAGAGATGGCTTTTCAGCAGATTTGAGCTTCAACCTAACTTTCTTTGGAAATAAAGTTCCAAGATGACCTCTAATGGCAATGAAACTTGGAGTTGTTTCTGTCAATAGCACTGTGCCAATTACTGCTCACCCGTTATATTGTAATGCAACTAAAAAACCCCCTGATATTCTACGGGTATGCATTCTGCATCTCCCTCTCCTCATCTGCAGCATTTCTGTTCTCCTGTTCCCTTCCTTATCCTTTGTGTCCCTGCTGGGCTAAGCCTGGCTGTCCCAGAGTGCCCACCTCCCGGACTGGGTGACTCCTGCACCTCCTGCAGCAGGCTGCCTATGCTCTGGTTGGTTTGAAACTGCTTGTGTTGCCAGGCTAGCTGCTAAGCACCTACTGGCTGGCCTCTCTGAGGTCTGGAGAGGAATGAATGTTTTTTTTTTTCTGGCAGAACTAACTGAAGTTCCTCATCTGTAAGGCAGTT